GGGTTTAGGGTTTACGGCTTGGGGTGTAGGGACTGGGGACGGTATGAAGGCTCCTTAAGCCCAAACCCTTACGCAACCGATTTCATCGGGTCTCCTAGACTCTTCAAGCTTTTATCGGGACTTACATGGTCTCGCAAGGGCTTCATAAAGGCTGTACGGGGTTTGATATGTTAGATGACCATTTCTCAAGACTTAGGGCTTAGGGGTCACGTACTGCTGGTTCTTACCATGTGAATTCTTTTCTTTAAAGTGCACTAGCCCTTGACTCCACCGCGCAGAGGTCTGGACTCACCTGTAGCAGGCTTGCACTGTGAATTCTACTATTCAGGGTCCTCTACTGGGGTCCCATGCTTTCTGAAACTCCCAAACTTCGGGAAGGGCTGCATCAGAGGGGAGTCGAGTTGCTGCAGCTGCTGGCTAGATGAGGCAGTCCATACGTTGCAGGTTCCGACAAAGAGAAGGCTGCTTGCAGGTGTCTCCCAAAGGCATGAAGCTACAGCTGAATTTCAAAGAACCAAGATGTTTTCGAACTAAAACCCTAAACCCTTACCTTAAACCCTAGCTCTAGACTAAGAACCGTGAACTCGACATGCCACTTCAAGACGCACCTCTGCGCCACCCTCCGGCCTCTGCGCAGCAAGCCGTGACAATGCTCAGGGCTTAGGGTTTAGGTTTTTAGGGTTTAGGGTTTAGGGCTTAGGGCTTAGGGTTTAGGGTTTAGGGTTTAGGGCCGTTTCCAACACGCTGAAAGAAGTGGCAGAGCCGACTCACAGAGCCCAATGCCCCTTGAGCAAGGAATATACCTTGAACCATACTACTAGTTCATGGCTGGGATAGCATCAACAATTGTCATGTGATTCCTTCTCGGGCTCACGTACCCACAAACAATGTTACCCAACTATGACAAAGACCAAAAAAGCGCTCTAAACCCTCAACCCTACACCCTAAGCCCTAAACCCTAAACCCCTAAGCCCTCAACCCTCAACCCTCAACCCTAAACCCTTGACAAACCCTAAAAACCCGTAAGGAAGAGGTTTGGGCCCTCTGAGGTCTCCTGGTGGGCGCCAAGGGCCCGGCCAGGCACGCTTGGTTGGTCCAAGAGCTTCCTTCTCAGGAATTAGGGTATTGGTTTTAGGGTTTAGGGTTTAGGGGTTTGGGGTTTAGGGTTTAGGGTTTAGGGTTTAGAGTTTTGGGCTTTGGGCTTTGGGTTTAGGTTTCAGGGTTTTGGGCTGTTCGCCCAAAGGTGGGGGGTCTCTTTGTCAGGTTTGGGGCTCAGGGTTTGTCTAAGTTTCCTGCAGCAGGGCACCCGTCTGTGCTCCAAAAGGTACGTTACTACAAGAGTAGCTGTTGCTGTCTGCAGTAGATTGTGAGTTATGGTCGGTGTCACTTGCGCATCTTCACGTGGCCAGCTGCGCCATCATGAGCAATACTGTCTTCGCTATCAAACGCGAGATCCTGATGATACAAACACAGCACCTTTGACTGACATCGCAAAGGCTTTGACTGACATCGCAAAGGTCAGCTTTATCCGCGTCGATATCATGAACGTGGCCACTCATCCAGCATCATCATCCTCGTCATCATCTTCTTCCACCGCAGCTGGAGTCCCGTCTCAAGCTAGCGAGCGCCCTTCAATGCTGGGCTTCTGCCAGCATCGGCTATTCGAAGATAGCGCGGCACTGATGCCATAAGGCATGGGAACAAGTTGCGCCGAAACGCCTATGTGCTATGCACAACAAAGTAAAACTCGTGGGAGTCGAAATCGATCAGTCAAGCGTGTCTAAGACACGCACTTTGATCATTCGAGCTTTGTTCGTTACTCTGTTGCTGTACAAGTACGAGTGACGATGGACAAGCAGCTGAAGCGTATGCATCTGCGACTGAATGTTGTCGACATGTCGTTGCATCAGCATCATCTGCGCCTCGAGCTCTTTCAGCTGGTACTCCATAAGACTCAAGTGTGCCGCTGTCCATGTGTCCCCGTATTTCCGCAGCAAGAAGTGATTCATCCCACTCTCTTTCTCTTCCGACATCGCTGCTATCTTCGGTTTGAGCAAGTCGTGACTGCGAGCTATCTGACATGTCAAGGGCCAGCACGAGGACATATGCACTGCAAGAGGCGCTCTCAAGGAATGCATTCGTGGCTGGCTCTCTCGGCTTTTCATCATCCAAGACATGACTTTGTGCTCCCCCGATGCTCAGAACACTGTAGTGACCTGAGGTGAGCAATTGGCCATGATGCAGTATGCATGCTATGAGGTGGTAGGGTTGCCACCGCGGCTCCAGGGAGTGCGGGCTCTCGAAAACAGGCAACTGCAGGACCTTGGGAATGATGATTGGCTTATGGTTTTTCGTTATGTTTCCCTGATCGTCTCTGCCGCTTCGTGGAAGCTGCATGAAGAGCCAGGGCGCCGGACTGTCCAAAGCATGCGCCTCTTCCTGCTGATACCATCGGTTGACAAGTACTTGCAGGTCAGGATTATCTATCGTGAGGTAACTGAGTGAGAGGCATTTGAAAAGTGCGGCACCATCAACTTGGTGCACCCCACCTTCATGGGCTGTTTTGGCACTCCAAGTATATTGTGCTTGTGATGGACATAAGCGAGGCACTAAGAAATCAATGAGTTCCGCGACATCGTGTTGTCGCTCCGGCCTCCTCCACCCCAGGAGGTTGAACCCCAGCGCTTTCAAGGCATTCAGTAGCCTGCTGTCAGCATGCTGGAAAGCTGCAGGCAGAATGGTTTTCTGGAGTCGGCATTCCAAGAGTGCAAGGCAGTAGATGGTGGCATTGAGGTAACAGTGGTTATTAGGGTTGGAGAGGTAGAACTTAGGGAGGGGGGTGTGACTGGTATGGTTGTTGGTAGCGGAGCTGGGAGTATGATTAGGGGCAGGGTGGGAGTTATTGGTAGCTGAGCCCTCGGGCGTGGTGGGAGTGCAGGGATTGATTGCATGAGGCGATGCTGGCTGCAGATTCCCGGGCCTCCACCGTAAGTCATCTGTGCCAGCTGTTGTGTCATCGGGGGACGTGCTTGGTCGTCCACTTTCATGCGGAATCCCGCGAGACATGTCAGTGACAGTCCAGTGAGCTTCCGGAACTGCTCGTAGACTTCCATGGCTTCGGAACCACGAAGAGAGACTCCGAGATGAAAGATTGCTTGCTGAGCTCCTTGTTCTTCCAGTTTGGCTAAGTTGACCGTACTTTGGAACTTGTGGATTATCTCTCCTTTCATCAGCTTCTGGAGTTCTGTTATGATTCTCACGGCCTCGTCGTGGACCATGGGTTCCCTGGTTTCGTCTGCCACCAGTTTCCGATGCTTGGGGGACCATCGCATGTAGGTCCAAGCGTTGGAGCTCGTGAGCCATTCCGCTTTCCGCAGGGAGTCCCTGCCCTCTTCTGTTGCCACCACTCGTTGCATCCTGGCTAAAAGTTCGCGCAGCAGGCAGCTGATCAAAACCGTCCGCTGGGAGGATTGAATGGACTGATCCCCCGCGGCCTGCTTGGCTTTCCACTCCCGGGAGACATTCATGAGGGAGGGCAGGATCGACTTGTCGTCCTGCCGGAAGAAGAGGACAAACTGGGTGTCCTTCCTCAGAGCCGCCAGCTGCTCCTCGTGCTTCAATATGATCTTGCTGAGGAGACGTATCTGGGAGTCCTGGGCTGGTTGGGCCGCGAAGGTTGATGTCGGTCTCCATGGTAGTTGCCCGGACTGGGTGGGAGGGGAAGGTCGGCCCCCCTGTCTTCCCACCGGCCTTCGAAGATCCGGTCTCGCCCTTTTGAGAGCTTGTGCCGCTCCCTCCTCTGCTGCCCCAGAGGGCATGCAGTGTGCGAAGATCTCCGCCTCTGGGTCTCCCATCAGGTGCAGCCTTGCAAGGTGCTTCAGGTTGGCTGATGCTTACTGCAAGGCAGAGCTGATGAAGCACTGTGCATTGGATGGCATGCCTGCACGGTGCGCCGACCTTGACTCCACAGTATCTGCAGCTACGGCCCCTGGTGAACTGGCTTTTGAATGTTAAGCATAGTTGCTGTGTTTGCTCGAGGCTTGGTGGTGGATGCGGTTGTAGTGCTGCTTGATGTGTTTGCCATCGGCTATCCACATGCCACAAACTACACATCGATCCCATGAGGCAAGCTTGCTGATAAAGGATGCATCTGTGATCAAGGGCACAGCATTTTGTGCCGCAAGCTCCTGGGATTCTGTGCCTGTGTAGGCCCGGGCTGTCAGATCGGCAGCAGAGGTTTCCTGCGCGGGGCGACTCATGGCTGAGTTGTCCTCTGATGGAGGGCTAAGTTTCATGCTATCGCCTCCCAGTGCCATGCAGGAGCCGTTTTCGATGTGAATCTTTAAGTGTTGCCACTTAGTGAAGTTACGGTGGCACAGCTTGCATGTGGGGAGGCCATTGACCGCGTGATCCGGTGCATGAAACGCGGGTCTGGCTCTAGGGTCCTCCAGTGTTTCTTGCTCTGGGTGCTTGATGGCCATGTGAATCGACCTGGCGTGAGCTGTGGGCTGCACAAGGTTGCAGTGTGGACAGGGAAACCCGGTGTTGATGCATTGTTGTGCCTCCTCCGGCGAGGTGAGGCCATGAATGGTCATTCTCTGAATGGCTTCCTGGAGGCTGGCAATCAGGATGTTTAGATGTTCTACTGCCTTGTCATTGGTGACAAGGTCCGGGCCGTTGGGGCAGTGCATAGGCTCGCGTCGCTCACAGAGCTTGTTCATTCTGGCAAGAATGGAAAGCTCAGGCACTGGGAGTTTGGCACGTTCCCAAATATCTGAGGTACTGACATGATGAAGGTGTGCCGGCTCCCGGAGGATGGCTCGCACATGCCTGGTGGCTATGGTCTTGAGTCTCTGCAAACCTTTGGTGGTGCATCCTGTTACCTCGAGGGAGTACGTGAGGCAAGGAGGAATGCACGCCTGCCACAGCCGCAATCGGTATTTGACTGACAGCGGACCCCTACCATTCAGAATCTTCCGAAGCTGCTGATATCTGGTCTGGGCAGCACTTATCCTGTGTCCGACATTAAGGTCCCTTCTATCCCTATATGAGATGATGGTGCCGAGATAAGTGTGCGATTCCCTGATTTTCAGCAGTCTTTCCTGGCCATGAACCGTCAAGATCAGGAAGGTTTCCCCCGCCTTGTGGCGAGTGTGCTGGCGCAGAAGCTTCTTGGCCATCTTGCCTTTCAAGTTGAGAAGCAAGGCTGTTTTCTGGAGATTGACTTTAAGTTGGTAGGTCTCCAGCGTTTCCAACTGGAGGGTCAGGTCCGAGACCGCGGTGGTCCAGTCCTGCAGGCTACTGATTGTCCAGCGTCCGCAGAAGTCGTCGGCAAACAGGGTCAGGATGTTTTGAACCCACGCTAGGCTTCTTTGTCTAGCTAAGTATTCCAGAACCGACAAGGTGAAGCTAACCCAAAGGGTGGGAGCGGCTCTGCATCCTTGTTTTATCCCGTTGGTCGTGGTAACTAGGCCCTGTGCCGTGGAGGTTCTGAAGATATACCTGGCATTTCGGTGTAGCTGTTGGACCATGTTGATGAGATCGCTGGGAACCTGATGGTCAATCAATGATTGTATGAGTAAGTCTCTGCTGACACTATCGAATGCACTGCTAAGGTCCAGGGAAAGACATAGACCACCATGGCATGGAAGGGGTTTGACTCCCTGGTGCATCTTAAATCTGTTATTGATCTGCCCTTTTTGGAGGTTCTCAACTTCACAGAAATATGAATGCACTCGAAGGATGGCATCATTTACACCCCTACCCGCACAATAGGCAAATTGTGGCATGTGATCAAGCATGGGTTGCAGATGTTCAAGAATATGCCGTGCCACATTCCCCGCAAGGGATTTGGCACACGGTGGCATTAGCCCAATTGGTCTTTTGGCACTCATGGTCGTAGGAGGCTTGGAGGGCTTGTCTAACCAACATATGTGGGCGTCCTGGAGGTCACCCTCCAGCTTGTCAGTCGACAGGGGGCGGAAGTGATGCTCAAAGCACGGGCCTAGGCGGTTACTGACCGATGCAGCACAGAGCTTCCACACCGCATTTGGCGCAATGTGCCTCGGCACGGCCTTCCTGATGTTGAGGGAGCCCAGCTCGGCCTGTAGCTCCGTTGCTGTGAAGCTGTGACTTCCCCGGAGAGGCTGCAGGCTAGTGGTGTCCGGGGTGGAGGCAAAGGCAGCGGTGCTGTGCTTGATGATTGCTGCCATTTCGGCCTTGCTATCAAGAACATGCCCATCGGGACCCTGAAGTCTAGAGACCCCTTGTGCTTTCTTGGGTCCCAACCTGCATGCTATCAGAAAGAGGTCTCGATGATTGCCTTTGCGGGCCGCGGATTCTGCCTGTCTCATTTGGTCCTCCAGGAACTGTCTTTTGAGGTCCTTGCTTTGTCTCCGGAGCTGGGCTGAGGCTCGAAGGAACTGTGCATACAAGCGCCATCTTGACCAAATGTTGCGAAGAGAGGGCAGGCCTGATTGACGCATTTGGCGATGCAGCTGCCAGGTGCCTCGGGCTGAGGCTCGGTAGCCCTCATGTGCACTCACTCTTTGATCCACCCTCTTGAGTGGTGGAAATGCACGACATGTTTCTTCAAGCAGGATGGTGTTGACCAAGTCATGCTCATTGCAAAGTGCCTGCGCCGCGGGCAGGGCCAGCAGTCTGGCTTCCACTGCTTGCAGAAGCGCCTGGGCGGAGTCGGAATGCTGTGACACCGCTGATTGCAGGGCTGTCGCTTCAAAGCGATGTTCTGCCTTGAGCTGCGGGGCACGGTATGCCATGGGCAGCAGCCGAACGGCGGCCTGCACCGGATAGTGGGTTGTCTGACGATACGCTCCCACCGGGAAGCTGCGCAGTGGCGTTGCAAGCTTGGCTTGGTGATTTGCATCTTGGGATCGCATCAGTATGTAGTCCAGTTGGCTTTTGACGGATGCATATGTGTAGGTGGGTCGGGAGTGCCATGTGTTAAGGGCGCACAAGTCACACTCCTTGATGAGTGTTTGGAGGTCTTTGTCAAGGTTGGAGTGGGAGCTGGGTTTAGGGACAGAGGGGCCTATGTGCGGGTGCATGGAGGTTAGGGTGGCATTAAAATCCCCAGCAACCAGGAGTTGGTGCCGGGCGGGTGTGGCTGTGATCAGGGATTGCAGGCTTTGCCATATATGGCTTCTGAGTGCACGATTCCTGGCAGCACTTAAGTGTGGCCTCCATACATGTTGATAGATGCCAATGAAGCATGTCGGCATCTGGCTTCTAATGTGTGTTGCCGTCACCTGAAGGAGCCTGCCTTTGACATGTTCCTTGACTCTGGGTTCATCAAAACATTTGCTGGGGAGAAGGCAGAGGATGCCGGCATATCTATCCACTTCCTCACCCTCAGTGTGCCCTGTGCTGTGCACGCATAGCCAGTGGCCACTTCTGTAGTCGTCTACTTGTTTCCAGTGTGTTTCCGTAATGATGATTGCATCATACTGCTCCGTGGCACTACATGTGTCGCACCAAGCCATGAGTTCCTGTGTCAAAGCAGCTGAAAGGCCCCCTGCATTCCAAGTTAAGACACGAAAGCTGAAATCAGGCCTGTTGCTGCGCCGGTAGTGGCTTCGGGCAGTCCTGGGCACACGGCTTAATGTAGGGGGTGGTTGACTACGTAGGGCATCGAGTGTGGCACGGGTGTGCCATCGGTTGCGATACCAGGTTCCCTCCTGGAGGGACTGGTTTGCTCGTCGACAAGCTCTGTTAAACGCTCTTTTCATGTGTCGTGTCGGATGATTCGGTTCCCTGCCTTGATGCGCTCTGCCGTGAAGCTTCCCTGGGCGAAGCCCAGGTCCATCCTCCGTGACGGCTGCAGCAGAGGAAACCCTCGCCCCCACTGTAGCTAGCAGTAATGCTCTGAGAGCAGGTCTGACATGTCTACAGTCTCCGGAATTGGGACCGGAGAGGCCTTTTGACTTCTTGGGTCTTCTGCATCTTGGGTGTGACTTATTGGGATTACAACCCGGGACAGGACCTATAACCCTAGGGATGGTTTCTCCTGGCTCGGGAGCAGGGCAGCCGCTCCATTGTGGCTGCTGCTGCTTCTGGCACTTCCTGCGGGGCTTAGGGAAAGTAGGTCGGGAGTACGGGTGCAGGTGACAAGGCTTTTGGAAGTTAACAGCTCTGCAGCTACGTGGCCTGAACGGTGTGCCGGGCATGCCAAGCTCAGGCAGCTGGGCGCGGCGATCTGGATCGCCGGGGTCTTCTTCGTCTTCTTTTCTCGTGTGTGGCAGCGAATTCATATTGCTGCCATTCCTCCAGCCGCTGGCCGGTGAGCCTTTGTCGGGCTTCTGCCTGCACTTGTCCCCAGTTTGACTTGTTCGTCTTGCGTCTGAGGCCGGCAAGGCAGCCCGCCTGAGACTTGCCTGGCACGTGTCTTGTTTGGAGCTCCTGCCGGTAGAGGGAATGCAAGCGCTCCACCGCCTGGTCGAAGTCGGAGCCCTCCAGCCATATACTGGTCTCTGACCAGCTGAAGGATTCCTCTGCTGACTCGGAGGCACTGTCTGAGCTGATTTTCGGACTGGATGAGGAGGTGGGAGCTGGTGCTCCCCCTCCTTCTGCACGCGCCTTAGGCATGGCCACGGCTGGCTCGCTGTTTCCAGATGCCATGCCCGTCGCTTTGTCTGCTCCATGGTTGTCCTCCTGCTGGTCCGCGGGGTCCACAGTGCTTGGTGTAGTCCTGTCCATGAAGGCACCTGGTGGAGGAGGCGGTCCTTTCGGCTTGGGTGGAGTGGTCCTGACAGGTGAGCCGTCTCGCTGGTGGTCTGGGGGAACACTATCCATATCAGGAGTAACCAGTTCCAGATCCAAGTCAGCCTCCCCATGGCTCATAGAGTCGAGGCTGCACCACTACCAAAGGAGGCTCAGAAGTCTCGGGCCCAGGGGCTTTCCTCGTCATCATCATCATCATCACCATTATCAGTATCACCATCATCACGTCACTACAAGGTCACCAGACATCGAAGTTGTTAACAGCGGCATCGAAGTTTCTGCTGATTTCGGCTATGATGTTCTGCGTCTCATGATCAGCCAACTGGAAGGTAAAATGGTCATGAGTATCATCATGTACTGCTGTTGCAACTGAAACATAGCACCACCATGCTGACGACGACGACGACGACGACGGCGCGGGTGTACCCCTTAGCTGTTACAGAGCTGGGGGGCAGTACCCAATTTCAAGCAACTTGAAGAATGTCGGGGTCTGCCTGCATCAGCTCCATTTTGAGGCCAGGACCTGGTGCGCAAGGCCCCCTTTTACTTAAGGTCTATGCCTGAGTTCAGGGGTATTGGGCTCTCTGGGTTGAAATCTTCGGTGGCTTCGGGGTTGGGGGTTTAGGGGTTT